AGAAGTATACATGTATTTTCAACAAGAATTTTTCCGAATTGCGAATGTGGACAGGCATGCTGTTGCAAATATTTAGTGTGTCTAACACAAATATTATTTTTTCCGTTGGCGATACAATTAAATTTATAAACAATATTGGTTTTCTACAACACATTAGTAAGTAGGGAGAGTCGTTACGAATGATCGAATTAGATATACTAGATTTAGTGTAGTATATAATTTATTTTATTTTTTACTAGGATCTGTGGTGTATATATTAGTATTTATTATTTATTTGCCTTTGAGTTACTTAGCTAAAAAGAGAACATGTTAAAATTGTTTTGTCTCAGCCCTAACCTATCTTTAACTGAGTAGTGGTGAGAGGAAAAAGATCATTCACGTCTTCATTAAGGGTACCAGCATTCATACTCTAGCTTTCATCTTCAAAGTTCATTTAAGAACCATCAAGAGAATGTTGAATAATTTTTAAAATATGGAAAAGTACAGTGGAACACGGGATCAGGGGTCCACAACAGAAAGATGAATCACCATTTCAATTTAGAGCTCAAGATATCAATTAGAAAAGATCCAACTTAACCCGTGAGACGTTTGGCACTTGTGAGAGGAGATTCACCTATGACAGTCCAAATTGCAGTGATAAAAGAATTGAAAAGAAAATCGTACATGGAAGCTGTGTGGCATCTAGTCACTCCAGGAAAAGGTTAGAATATTAGTGAGGGTGAAGATCATCATGAATAAGTTGTAAAATAATCCAGAAATAATATGTATATATTTATTCCAATCTTTCATGACCTTCCGATCTTTAGCTATGTTTAGTTAATGATAAACATGACATGTTCGCTTATAATCGATTTCATCATGATTTTTCTTTTAATATTGGAGAGTAATTATACATTCTTATTGCTCGATGTAGAGTTTAATTTTGTTAAAAAAAAACTTGGAGAATTCCAGTAAGATATTTTTAATCAATCCTAAAATACGACGGTTCAGCGCATAGACCAATAATTCGCCAGTACTGTTGTTACATAATTTGACCAATTTTGGTGTTACACCAGGTATATATAGATATGATGTAATATTAGTAGTCGTGGTCGTAGTCGTGTTATTAAATAAATGATAAAACAATTCAAGAAGATAAAGTCTCTCTGGCTCAAAATTAGGCATAAAATTAGTTTTGAGAAAGGCATGCTATCTCTTAGGTGATTATTTCAAATACAAAAGATTTACAGAATATTTTTGCACACACACACGAGCGCGCGCGTGTGTGTGTGTGAAATTATATAGAAAATACGAAAGAACTCGTTAGGTAAATAATCCAAAGTTCTTTAGTATTTTTGTTATTATTTTTAAAAAAACAGTGCACAATGAAAAAAGTAGAGCCTAAATTTAATTATTTATTCAACAATATGATTCCATCGCTACATAAGAGTTCTCAGGTTTCAAAACAAGAGCCGAAAACTTCAATATAATTATTTAAATTGAATTAAAGTACCAAGCCCTGTTCCATCTTCAAGCGCAATTATATATATATATATATATATAGATATAGATATATATAGATATATATTGACATTCATGTCATTATATATATTACATATATGTATATACAAATATTCATTATATATTACATATATGTATATACACACATTCATTATATTTATTACACACACACACACATATATATATATATATACACACACATTCATGTCATTATATATATATATATATACATATATATATATTCATGCCATCGCTAATGTCCTGACATGTTCCTCGTTGCCATTTGTATTTTACCGCTGTTGTCCCAATACCTCTCGCCACGATATTCCTTTTCTCTATTTCTTCCCTGATTAAGAAAGGTTAAAAATTGGCCCTAATGGAATTTTGTTCATGGATTCAATATCGGCTAATTATCTTTGTATATGAACCAGATGAACGGAAGTGCACATTGCGAACATGCTCGCTCTATTGAAGACCAACTATCGAGTAATCCGCTTGATCTATACCAGACCTTTTAAAATGTGCACTTTACGAGGCTTAGCATATTTAAGTCGGGTTTAATTAAGGGTGATGCTTTTTACTTACCAGTTGGATCAAAATTTATTTATCTTAGCGATATCTCCATATCAAAGAGATATAAAGGATGAAAAACTAATTTTTGACTCAACACTTCAGGACATATTTTGCAAGCGCTATGTCAACAAATGTCAAATGTAAGAAGCAAAATGACCAGTCCAAAATGCGAATTAGGCAATGGTCCTAACAAAATGAAGCCTAATCAAAGATTTAAATTAAAATTGTTTATATAAAACGGAAATTGTGATAGCGAAAGTCGAAGCCGTATCCTTTCATGTTCTTGGCTATCACTGATTCCTCTCCTTTGTATGAATTAATAAATTTTATCTCTTGGTTTCCTCTCCTAAACCATGTTCAGCCACTCACTTATTCAAGCTCATTAAATAGGTTATGCCTTGTTTACTTATGTCCCTCTTACATTCATTTGTCCTGTGCGTATCATATTTCCAAGCCATCTTTCTTCATTATGTGCGATTTTATTTTCAACTATTTCTTCTTGAGGTTAAGTATATGTTGCGCCCCCCCCTTTTTACACAAGTGAACTCACCCAGTATATACATATACTACTGCTACGTGAAGAACCGAGAGACAGAGCAACCGAGGGTGAAGTTAACAGATAGACAGAACGAATGTAAGGAGCAAGAGTCACCGTGAGCGAGCACGTAGACTCAGTAAGAAGTCATACAGCTGTACTTCAATACCAAAGACTATATATATATATATATATATATATATATATATATATATATATATATATTGCTACTAACCCGTATTCTTGGAACTACTAACCTGCATTACTAGTTTGTATTATTACGTCCACCGCAAGGAACGTTGGCTCCTTGTGCCGCGCCAGGAAATTTTTCTCCCCGGAATCGATCATCCACATCTACAAATCAACAATTCGCCCTTGCATGGAATATTGCTGCCATATATTGTCTGGAGCCACTTCTATTTGCCTCGGGTTCTTGATAGGCTCCAGAGGCGGATATGTAATATAATTGGCCCTCATCAGTCACTTTCTCACAGACACGCCGTCGCCTCTCTCTGTCTGTTTTACACATACTTTCATGGCAATTGCTCCGAGGAACTGCATTCGCTGGTTCCCATGTGTTCAAGCGCCCTACGAGGCTGGCATCCCGCTCTCACCCCTTCATTGTCGAAACTGCTAAATGTAGCCGTCTATTCTACTCCGATAGCTTCATGTGTTGCACCTCTCGCCTTTGGATCACCCTTCCCTATTCCAATTTCCCTGAGAGCTATAATTACTTGCTATTCAAATGTAATGTCAATCGACATCTCCAGTTGCCTTGATCTATCCACTACCCTTCTTCTCATCGTTTCTTTTATCACTACTATCTGATCTTGCTCCAAATTTTTTGTAACCCCTTGAGTCCTAGTGGCTGCATGTCTTTCTTGGGGTGAAACTCTTAAAAAAAAATACATTATTTTCCTATATTCATTCTTGGCGTTTGTTATTTATTGGTACCGGATTTCATCCCAGAATCCACATTTTTGTTTGAATTTATCCTAAGACTTCGTCGTTCCTAACGTGTTCTTTCCATAGTTTCTACAGTATCTTTCTGTAGTATCACATTTATATCGCTTCCAGTCACTTCTTCATCTGTGGAGAGATTGTCCAGTATTAACTCTCATATACTTAACAATTGCTATGTTTCCTTTTTCTTTATACTTTGTTTAGCGTTTCGTACGCAACTGGCTATTCCAACTATCCTTCGGATTTCAATGTCACAGTCTCCCAATTTTGTGAAAACATTTCCCAGATATTTAAATTGTTGTACTTGTTAGAGTTTAGTATCTCTAATTTGTAGTTGGGATCCTGGTCCTTTTCCTTTGCTAACAAACAGACATTTAGCTTCCGTACCACTGATATTTAAACATTTTTTCTCGCTTTCCTTCACTTGATTCTAAAAGATTTCTTTTTCGTGCCTGTTCCCAACACTGTGACATCCGCATCTCTGATGTTGGTAAGATTTTTGCCGCCAATAATGAATCCTGATTTAGTAGATTTCCTATTTAACACGGGTGAAATTACCTCCGATCTTTGTGTACGAATGAAGTGTAATGCAAAAAAGTATCCACACTCCTCGCCATAACATATATTTATATCTATCGCATTATCTTCTGATCATGCGTGCTTATAGTTGGCATAACTGCGGTCGCGTGATCAAAGTTTGAGATTGATTGTACCAAGTTTGTAACAGCCGTTACAGTGTAAACATGGCCACTCCACTGTCAGTGTGCGCCAAGGGGGAACAAAGAACAGTGTTCAGATTTCTCCGGATCGGATGTCGTGTCATAAGGTGAATGTTATCGGAGGCTTTTATCATAATACGGCCAAAGTAAACAATCGCTTGGTGTGTATGTGTGGTTCGAGAACTTTACAAGTAGCCGGACAAGCGTAAAGTACGAAGAATTAGTAGGACTGCGGTTAACCTTCACTAATGATGAGAAGATTTAGCAAGCTCCAGAGTTTTTAGTGGCGAAGAGGGGAGTTATCATTTATGAGGTGTCATGTTCTCTTCAGATTCAGATCACTGCACTTTGTTCTCTTCGTTTTACACTGCTAGCGTAGCGGGCATGTTTACACTGTAAGAGCAGAAGGAGAACTGGCAAATTCAGGCTCAAACGTTGATCAAGTGTCCAGATTAGTATCAATTACACGCACGCATGTGCTGAGGCCTGTGTAACAAAACTAAAGATATGTTATGGCGTGAATGCTTATAATTTTTATTTACCCTCGTACAACATTTAGAAAGCAATTTTAAGTCACTGCGTTCCTTACATACAGCAAGAACTGCATGAATTTCCAATTCTTGTATTTGTTTAATCATTTCACCTCAAAGGTTACAGGGAATGAAAATGAAAGAGAAGACTGAGAATAAAGAGGATTGAAGAAACGAGAG